ACATTACATCTTGTCTCAAATAATCATCAAAACATTAGAAGAATAGACGTGATCGATCAAAGCTTGATTAATTTCGAAACATGATTCTTGAATACTTGACTGTTGATTACAGCTGATATTGTTATAAATCACAATTCTTAGGTCAAGAATTGTCGAGAGAGTTGCAAAATATGCCAAAATGTTATTAAATTATATGTTTTAGATGAGAAAATTAGTTATAAAGAGGGAAGTAAAAGAAGAATTTTAACATAATTTAAAGATGTCCGACTTTAGATGAATTAGACACTTATTCTAGTAAAATTTAAGTTATAATAGAAACCAAGATTAAATTACATATCAGATTTACAGTAATTGTAATTGTCAATTACTAAATGAACATAATTATGTAGTACGTAAAATGGTGAAATTACGTAAAGATACGAGAAGATGAAAACAGTATCACATGTCTCTTATATAAACTGAAGACATTTATATAACAGATGTCTAGTATTCATTATTATATTTGTTTTAATTGTTATGACACAAATACAGTAGTTATAATATTTCTACATAAGTAATAAAAGTAAGATGATAGGAAATACTTTATTGCTTTATAACTGAATCAATGCTGTATACACAAAAACACGTGTTAGACATAATCCTGTATATAAGGTTAATATACTTTACTAAATTAATTTTCATAATTGTTTATTACAGTGTACGAGGCCAGTTTTGTTTAATGTCCATGTTAAGTGACACCAGGCGATCTCGGCGCCTCTAACTTCTAAATCTGTAGTCTTATCGTTGATTGGGCGGGTAGTCAACTTTCTTTAACATGGGAAGTATAAGAAGTTCACAATTGCATTTAAATTTAATTATAATATATTCGAAAATCAAATATCAATAAATCCTTGCAATATTTAAATCATTTGTTTATTACAGCGGGTATTTTTTCTTACTTATGTGCTACTGCAGTTTGTAAATTTCGTTTCACACGATGCACTATTTGCTACAGCAACAGGCTAAAAAAAGACACGTTTAATTGGTCTAATTATTTTTGAATAAAAACACCAATGAATAGCCAGAATAAAAATCACGTGATTCATTTTCATTCTTGCAATTAATGATCGTCGCACTTTATTGGTAAAATTCTAAAATAAACTTAAAGAAATTCTTTCACATTGTTTATTTTTGAAATGTTTAATTAATATCGATTATACCCAGGCGAGCCCAAAAATACAGTAGTAATAGATAGAGCTTTACTGTCTTTTTGTATATAGCAACGCGACAGTTGGGCAATCTACCTCCCAATAGAACCATATTTAGGTGTTATAAACAGGAAGAAATCCCGTGAACCAGTGAATTACGTGCCCAGCCCATTAGTGTGGGCTGGGCACGTAATTCAGTAGTTGTATTCACTCGGCTATTGATGGGCAGTGTCTCTTTGTAAAGAATCAGCCAAAGTCTATCGGCGCCATATTGGAAAACTTAAAAGACGTTCAATTCAGAATATTTAAAAATCCAGGAGTGGGTAAACACAATAACATTGCGTATAAACTTTCTCTTGTAACAAAGAAAACAAGAAAGCTGAGGATAAAAAATAACATTTCACAGTAGCATAGCCTAAATGTGTTTAGTGTATAATAATGAATAATTCACGAGTAAAAATATGCTTAAATTTATATAAGACGTTAGTGTTTAGTACATAAATTAAAAATTCAAGTTTCTTAAAGTATATAAGCACATACGGGTATTAATTTCCATTGCAGCAAACAAAGTTAACTTGAAATCATTCTACTTTAGGATTTCCAATATGGCAACCGTTGGCTTCCCTACCTTCTATTACTATTTTCTGTTCAATGTTGTAATCTCTTTTGTTATGCACGCGATCTCCAGCAGATGGCAGTAAAAATTTAGTGCTTCTTCTATGGAAGTATTCTTTTTATAAAATTTCTCGGGAAACCGAAAGCAGATAGAACCAAACAGATTTTTGCGTTAGAATCCTATTTAATTTTTCTATTATCTTACGGTTCAGAATTTTGAAAATTACATTTGTTAATTTTCTACGAATTCTTAAAATCGTAGAAAATTTGAATGCTTTTTTTTAAGTCTTTTTCACTGTGGGCAGAAAGACGGTCTTTTTGCAAGTTTATTATGGGAATCGGCCAGACAATGCAATCGGTTGGTAAGAAACAGGTCGACATATCCTGACGGACCGACCACCCCCAAAAAATTCCTGGGATTTTTATTTTTGGAGCCATAGAAGTTTTAGAATAAAGTTCATCGGTCAGTGTCTTTCCTTAAAGCCTAAATAACACTGCTAATTGATTGCGATTGAAAATTTAAACTGTAGAAATTATTTTTTTGTCAGATAATATAAAGAATTGAAAGAATAGTTCTGTATCACACGTATATGTTTTAATAAACTTGTACAATAAATTCGAACAAAATGCATCTTAAAATAGATAAAATGGAAAATCAAACTTTGAATTTTCTTCAAATATTTTAAGTACGAAAGCAAATTTATTGCGTTTATTTATAAACATGGAATGTAGTTCGTGTATGTTTTTTGATAAACTTTCCCTTTTTGAAGTTAATCCCTTAAAATGTTAGTCTACATTTTAAGAGATTAAGGATATACATAAATATCCCGAACTACAAAGTATAAAAACAGCGAGTCCAAAGCAAACAGAATTTTAAAAGTTTACATATAGGAAATAAATATTGTTATTGTAGAGTCGAATGTTGATTTTAGTGTCTAATTTCTTTACAAACAGGAAAATATGTTAAAACACTTTAAATAGATAGGCAAATATTAAATTAACAGAACGGTAAATATATCAGAGTACTTGTTTGTCGATAAATTCACCCAAAGATACGACTTTCCATTTTAAATTCTGCTATATTTTCCATTAGAATGGTAATAATAGTCTTTGCATATGAATCTGTAACATTATACATGAGAATTTAGTCAGTTTATTTACCTTTTCCACTATTTATCCTCAAATTACTACAGGACATGTCATCGAACTACATGAATATGATCTACTAGAATAGTATAAATGTATTATATATCCCTGATAATTGATCTAAATAACTATCATTGGATGACATTAAGAGAACATTTAGTTTTATTCCCTTTAATATAGAGTGCTCTACAATATATTAGATATATAAACTCATCCCATATTTTTATAGCATCATTTTTCGAAGATTCAAGCTCTATTGCGTATAATTTTACTGTTGGAAAGAAGAAAACGTAACTGGAGATTATTTTAAATTTTAGTATGTTGCTATGGTTTACAGTAAATTGAACGTGATCGATCAGGATTATTAAGCAAATTAATATTTAAAATAAAAGTTTTTATTTATCTAAAATTAAGACGTACGTAAAACAGCATTTCTGTAGAATTAATTACGCTACGTAAAAAATCTATAGAAGTTTGCATTAAAATTTTAAAAAGTAAATTATTAATCACCATTATTAAATTCGCTATTGAATTTCTGTTAATGCAACTAAATTAACAATAACGAAAGCTTAACCTTGATTTCTTTTCTATTTTATAATTCTAATTATCAAAAATTATCAAAGTATATAGCGATTATAATAATTAAAAAGTTATTTTTGTACTTTGTTCTCTTTTCATTTATTACTAATGGATCAAATAATCAAAAGTTTTCAATTAATATGCGCCTCTTAAGCAAATATATATATATATATATTTTAATGTTTTTTCTGATTAATATAATTTATATTTTAATATAATTTCTTTCAAGTAAATATTTTTAAAACTTTCAATAATCTTTCGTTTCCATCGGCATTATTTTAACTTGTCTCTGTTGTTAATAAAAAGTTTTGGTTATTCAAATTTTTTCTTAAATTTAGAAAAATTTCTGAAATTCCTAATTCTTGAAGAGCAAGAGCATCTAAATTCACTTAAATTTACTTTAATTTTCCAAATATTCTTTTTAAGCAAAGTGCTTAAATAGAGGAAAAAAGTACGTCCTCTCTGTGTTTTAATTTTTCAAATAAGCAATTTCCGACCAAAAATAGTTTAAAATTTCGTAGATAATAATTTAAAACTTTTTAAAAACATTAAAATATTAATCAAAATTCATAATTTATACATTAAATTTTATATTTTCTAAACTGTTTATAAATAGTCGAAGCTCCTGATTGCACTATTAAAAGTTCAGAAATTAAAAGCTTGGCAAATGATATATTCTGTTTAATCAATAGAAATAACTATAAATAAAATTTCTAAATCTATTAATTGAACTTTTAACTTAAATAAATTAATTTACTTCTTGTTTTTTTAAAGTAATTCTGTTCTTTTAGTAAACACGAGAAGCTCTCTGCTTAAAAATCAGTTCATGAAACTATCTTAAAAGTTTAATTTTGTATTAATTGACTTCATTAAACACATTTTATCTGTGCTATTACGATCTCTTATGGTTTCAAGTGGAAAAATATTCGGGATCGACGTCCTGAGGCGCGCGCGAACGATCGCGTCGCGTCGCGTCCTTCTACGTAACGAAACTGTTTTGTATATTTTCTCTAATAAATTAAAAAATAATTAATTATGATTTGCAAATTTTAATTCAATGAAGAGCTTGAAGGATATAAATTATCCATATTTATATCTTTCAATTTTTTGAAGCAATTTATCTACCATTTTTATTCGAGAAGGTATATTAATGCACGAAAAAGGATGAATTCCATAGAAAATATAAAATTTTAACTTAAATGATTAAGTAATATAACTTAATGTTATTTAATATAGTTAATAATAATTAAAATTTTTAAATTTATAAATACAGATTAACAGGAATCTTACCATATACCAGTGGAAACAAGTCGCGATAACATCAACTATTGTATCCTTATTAGAGAATAGTTTCCTGTTAAATAATTAAAAACATTTTTCTACGCTTTGCTAATCACTTATAACTTTGCATGTCCACCTACTTGACCTCCTATCGATGACCCCACACTGATTAATCCTATATATACCTGTTCGTTCTCTTGACAGCAAACAAAATGCTGACGATACTCAAATGGGTACTCTTGGTTTTCTTCTTGCATTCAGAAATTGCTGAAACATTCGGGATGAAGAGAGGAAATTGTAAGTTTTTGAATTTATTTCTTAATCTATAATTCACTTAGCTAGAGCAATCGTTGCACTTTTTGCCATTATTTTATGTAGTTGCTGTATATAAGTGGCAGAAACTCTGTTCGTAAATAGGATCCACTAATGGTCGAATGGATAGAAATCAGTAAACAGGTTTGATCGTGCGGTTAATAACGAGTTGGCGCATGACGTTTTCTGAATTTTATTCGTTTCTAACACCTAAATATGGACCAGTTTCCCGTAGAAAATCTTGCCTGCGAACTCCTCGTTGATACATCGCCTTGTGTTCTGTTCTCGTATCTCATCAAACCAATCCTGTTCATAAAAATCGACGAACATGTAAAGTTACTGGTTGGTCTGTAAGGTGAACTTAAAGTACTTCGTCAAATATTGATATTTATGCAGGAAAGAATGATTTCGCCTCGTAGCTATACTTGGTTATTGGATTTTGCCGGATGAATAGAGTCAACCATATTTGTTTATATAAGCTTTTCGAAATAGAGTTAAAATCCATAAAAGAAGAGCATTGCAAATATGACTTTTTATTTTTTAATTTTATGCTCTTTTGATAGTTTTGAAAGTTTTTACGGTGATTAATTTTCCCAACCAAGCTTGCAACACTACTGTCACCAACAGAACAGGAGTTTGTTATACGCTTCCGGAGTGCAGAAGCAGAAAAGGTATTCCTCTTGGATCCTGTGCCGGTGGGTTTGGAGTGTGTTGTTTGTGTAAGTATATAACTGTAGAATATACCTATTAATTACAGTAGTTGTACAATAGTTTAATTTATAATTTTAGTCGAAATATCTTGTGAAGAAACAAGCAGCAATAACGGGACATACCTTACTAGTCCTGATTATCCCAGTTTCTACGATCAGGAAAGAACGTGTGCCATTACTATTAGGAAACTGAACAGCAATATATGCCAAATTCGACTAGATTTCAATGTTTTTCAGCTGCGACCACCCTTTGAAGGATCGTGTTCCTTGGATAGATTGGTAGTCAGCGGGCAAAGTCAAAATAGTATCATACCACCTATATGTGGCACTAATAATGGACAACATTGTAAGTATCTAATGATTGACCGCGCCATCCAAGAAAATCTCGTGTATAATTTTACGCTTATTTTAAGTATATATAGGTATTTCGGGCACAGAAGGATCTATAATGATAAACGTTATTACACTAGGAAGTCATCAGAGGAAGTTTGATATAAAAATATCGCAAATTTCCTGTACTGATGTAGATAGAGGTGAGTAGGTTCTTGTTGAAGTAGGGCCTATATAATTATTACTCATTATACCTAAATTTTTAGTTCCTTCAAACTGTTTGCAATATTACACGGGTATTCAAGGAAATATAAAAAGTTTCAATTATAATTTCGATCCAAGATTCGATCAAATTCAAGGCAATCAACCTTTCGAAACTGTAGAGAATGGTTACTTTAACAATCTCGATTATGCTATATGCTTTAGAAAAGAGCTGGGTTTCTGCAGCATCACCTTCACTGTTGCCAACTCTACAGTGTCCACTACTGGGAATAATGTTCCCTCTCCTTCCTTCGCCATTAGACAAGGCGACGGATCTTCTCCTGTACAAGGAATGGCTCAAGCTGGTCCTACAGAATGTCAATCAGATTACTTGATCCTAGCCAACATACGATTCTGTGGCGGTCGTTTAAATCCCGATCTCACGGGATCTCCTAATGTTAACGCAGATGTTGTTGGTAAGTAAACAATCCTCGTGCTGTAACATAATATATAATTCGTTCATGAAATTATTTACTTTACAGATGTGACTTCCGGACCGTTTATTGCACGTTTCGTGACAGACCGAAAGTATAATGAGAGAGGATTTGACTTAAATTACCGCCAGAATCCATGTACAGTAGCTGGATGAGTCTTGCTGCAATTAAGGGTGATTGTAGCTTCTTCAGTTATGCACGTGGTCTCCAGGAGATAGAAAGCATTAAATTTTTACCAACGTCTGTTGGAGATCGCGTGCATAACCGAAGAGGTTGCAATCAGCGTTAATTAAAATTTTCAAAATATTATTAACACAATTTCTTTAAGTCCATTTTAGAATTTCATGTAATAATAGTGTGACTATATTGCAGGAATGTAAAAGAGCCACGTGATATTCATTCTCGATATTCATTGGTGTTTTCGTTCAAAAATAAATAAATAGACCAATTAAACAATGTTTTTTTTTAGCTTGTCGCTGCAGCAAAAAAAAATGCATCGTGTGAAACGAATTTACAAACTGCAGTAGAACATAATTAAGAAAAAGAAAAAAATATCCGCTGTAATGAACAACTGTTTTAAATCGCTTAATCGTATTTTTAATTCATTTAATTTAAATTATATGCTCTTCACCTTAAATTAGTAGTGTCTTGCCCCTGTATATCATACTTTTACGTTAGCAATGGAGTCGTGCTAACATCTATCTAATCCTTTCGGAAGAAAAGCTTTAAATTGAAATAAAATGACTTCCGTTTGCATCAAATTCGTATATAGTTAATTGGGGCCTCTTTCACCTAAGCCTTTCATATCTTTCATATATCTAATTCCGTTCTCGAGATTAAGGAAGAACAGACAGACAGCCGGTCGACAGTAGAAATTTATAGGTCTACAATTTTTTCAAACTGTAGCCTAATATAAAGCTTATTGGTTCATTCAATAAAAAGCATTTAAAGTTTGATATCAATTACTGCTGAATTCGTCGCTATGGAAATTAATAAATTGCAATTGTAATGGCGAAATTAACTTTTTACACTCGTAATTACGTTACAATTGTGATTGATAGTTCTGTATAAAGTTCTAAATAACCGAAAAAATAATTTCTTTCGAGAAAATTTAGTAAGACACACGATGAAATAAGGCATTAATTCATTGAATATTAACATAATTCAGAAGGTTCACGACAGTTATCAACAGATTTGAATATCAGTTCTGTATAAAAGACTGAAAATATTTCTACTTGTTTCCTCGAATATCAAAGAAAAATATACAGGGTGCCCCAGAATTCGGTTAACCTTAGGACGAAGCGATTTAATTAGAATACAGTTGTTTCAACTGGTTTTAATGCATCTAAAATTAATCTTAAAATTTATACGTCTCGGCGGTTAACAGTAATTTGTTCAAATATACTTATACATATATTTTTGAACATGTTTTAGTGCTCATTTAGAAAGAAATTAGAGAAAAACAACTACAATATTTACATAGGATCCTTGAAAAATATGTTTATTTGAGTATTGCAAGTATTTATTAATATTTGATTTTATAATGTGTTTTAATTAAATTGGAATAAGAAGGAAAACATTGTAAATAAAATATAAAGTAGTGAACGTTAATAATAAATATAAGATTTTGTATTATTAAAATTTGTTTTATTCAGACTGTCAGGAGTCGTGATATGGAAGTTCAATACGTGTTGCACTTTCGTACCATGACTCCGGACACGAATAGGAGCCATCTTTCCATAGGAAGTCCTTGGAGATATGCCAAGGACTTCCTATGGAAAGATGGCTCCTATTTAGGTACATACGTATTAAAACTTGGAAAATTTTACACGACTAGCCCGTTTAGTCAGGCACGCAGGGCCGTCGAGAGGGAGGATTTTTTCTCGAGCCCAGAGAAACGTATGGGGCCGTCGCGGTTTCAAGCCCTATAAATTAATGTTATTTTCACTAACAAAAAATAAAATATTTAGAACTGCCATTAATTATTAACGAAGCATTCTACATATTTCGTTCAAAGAAAACTAGCAAAACAGGCCCACTAAGGCGAAAACTGATCTCTCTACCCCGGAGTCTACTACCTTTATAATTAATTTTCTCATCTGAAATATATTATTTAATAATATTTTGGCATTTTTTGCAACTCTCTAATTACAGCTGATTTCAATCAGATCAGCTGTAATCAACAGTCAAATATTAAAGAATCATGTTTCAAAATTAACCAATCCGTCATCGATCACGTTTACACTCTTCTAATGCTTTGATTCGAGGCAAGATGTAATGTTTTATTTTTAAAAGCATATCCTCACTGGGATTCTCCACATAGAATTAAGAAAATTCGAAAAGGATACGATCACGGATTCCTTCTGAAGTCGATTGGAATGATGAGATGTCGGCAGATCACCCACGAGTTGCATTAGAACTTGTGGGTGATCTGCCGAGCGAGGAGTACTTCTCGGGGGAAATATCTGAGAAAATGGTTTCTATTTAAATGTGATAAACGTTTAGAAAATCAGGAAAATTCTATCTGGCCGACTGATGGAAAACTTTTCGAAAATGTCTATAACTGGGAAAGTTGTGCCAATATGAGCTCTGTCTTTGTGGTGTGATTTTTGCAGAAATATCGATAACAGCATGTGGAACATTACAGAATATTACGTCGGAATATCAGGAGAGTGAAAATCCGTCAAGTAGGACCTTTTAAATTTGGAACTTTTTGAATTTTTAAGGAAAATAGACATTTTCCGGATAATCGGTCTTTAAACTACCGGTTTTCCGAAACGGACGACGGAATATTTTTTGGACTAATAATTTAAACCTAGTTGTCAAATTTTGTGGTCATGGGTCAATTCCTGCCTAAGTTATTAACGCACTTCCGGTTTTCCATAGAACGCCATTATCTCGCTTCCGGTTCATTTGTGCCTAATTTCATTTGGGTAGTTCTTTTGGGGTAACATAAGCAATCCTTAGTGAAAATTTGGTTAAGTTATTTGTAATAGTTTTTAAATTATGGCCGATTTAGTTTTATGTTCGATTTTCAACAACAACTTCATTTCCGTTTCTAGGCACAGGTAATTGACCTCTTGCCCTTAGTTACGTTATTTAACGAGTAATTCTGATTTTTCTGGTTGATATAGTTATCAAACATAGGGATAATTATATATTTTCTGAACCGGGGGAAGACAAAGAATCTATTATATATAGTGTATTATATACATTGTATTATATACATTATTATTTGTATTGCATTATTATTAAAATAACATGGGATCTATGATCATAGAGACTTTCCGCAGCAATGCGAATAGCATTGTTGAAGAGATTAAAAATTATGCTATTTGTAACCCGAAATGCAAATTCGAGACTCCCAAACACATGCAGTTTTTATTAGATCAATTTCATAAAGTAATTNGGGCTACTCAAATATTTTACGTTTTTGATACTAAATTAACTTCTGAAGTATAATTTTTTATTGTTTTTATATTTTTCAATATATTTATTTTGTTCGTAGAAAATAAAAAAATAATTCTTAACGATACAATAATTTTCGTTAGGCTTAACATCGACGAAAATTCAACGCGAAGCGACACGCAACGGAGAAAAATGTCAAGATGGGATAAATTAATATATTTTTCGCACATAATCGGTTATCCGAAATACGGATCTTCCGAACAACACCAGTCCCCAATTGATTCGGATAATCGACGCTCTATTGTATAAACAAAATAAACCGCGGAAAATTTATGTGAACATTTCCAAGCAATAAAAGTATTCCTCACAGAATGAGGAGTACTTTTATTGTTAGAGCTGAGTATCAAAGGCAGGATAACTCGAATACACTACTTTTTCTCCTAAATATTCTCTGCTGAAGTGGGAGTGCCCCTTATCTGCCGTAAAATGAGATATGACTGAAACGTTCAAAAAAAATTTTTATGAAAAGTTAACTCATAATAAAACTATTTCAGTATTCACTATTAGGCCCAGATATGGGGGTTTTGGCATTGTTTCGGATAGGGAAAAGCCCCAAAACTTACGTTTTTCTGTGAAAAAAAGGATATAGAAAAGTTACAAATGAAAATTTCCTTTAATAAAAGCAGAAAAATTTGTTTTATTGATATTATGAATACGTTTTTAACGACTTTTGGAGAGGGGTAGAATTTCGCCAAGTCTCTGTCAGGTCTTGCTTACTATAATACTGGATTAAAATGTTAAAATAAATGAAATTCTAATTTCCATTTTTAGAATTTCATTATTTAAAATAAATATTATTAAATAATATTTTTACGTTTAATATTTCCAATTCAAATATAACAATTTTCGTTTTAAAAAGTGAATTTGTAAACAAGTGATCAAATTTTGTGTACATATTCTAGGAAAAGACAAGAATTTGTATTTATTTATAGCTTTATTATGATAAATAAATAGGTGCTAATTGTTATAAAAGGGGGAAATTATAAGCTAGACTCATTACATCGCCAGGAAAAAGGACAAATATGAAAGCTTTAATAGTTATTCTTTACGTTTTATTCAGTTTATTCTTTATGCTGAACATTACATTTGCATTTCTACCAGATGGTAAGTCTCATTTTCCTATATTTTATAAATATTTCTTTATAATTTTAACATAACAATTGTTTGTATGACTTATAAATATGATTAAATATATAAATTAATAAAATATAACTGAAAAATCGAATAATATGATGCGTGCTTTTTACTTTATTGTATCAATACCTTATACAGAGATATATAAGGGGATTACGCTAATATTTACATTGAAAATTCACAAAATAAAAGTTTTTTTCATAACAATATTATGTATTAGGCAATGTAATAGTTATTCTGTATAAACAGATGTAGATAGGACTTTAACAAAGAGAAATCAAATTAAATTAGGTAAAATTATTTTAAATAAGGTGTAATCAAATTACTTGAACGTAACCATAGTGGCTATATATTTATTTTTGACGATTGAAGATATCGATTTACAGTGCAGAAAATAATGTTTTACTTTGTTCTGAACAATTACGTTCCCGGCTCTGTTATACTGTGTATACCAGAGGGAAAGTATGGAGATCGGTCAAAAAATGACCCCGAGATTTTTACAATTTTGGCCTGATGGGTCCTTGAAACGTTTAGAAATGCAAAATATTTGGTTGTTTTCTGTATGCATGGATGTGTGTCTATGTGTGTGGGTGTGGGCGCACGATTTCGTAATAACTCTCGTGGCTCTTGTAAATTTCTGAAATTTTGCAAGAAGATTTGTGTATTAGGGAGATTAATACCGCTAAATTTTGGTAGTTAAAAGTAGAGGGTTTTTTTAAAAAACTCTTCCCGCCCTGTGGGCACTAAGAGGACCTCTTTTTAGCAGGCACATTATGGGTTCGGCCAGGCCCACAATGGGGTGACCGGGTGGTGAGGGACTGGACCCGACATAATAGTCGAGGGAGTAGGGGATGAAGAATCGCATCTAATAGAGATTTTATTCGTTATTAGCGTTTACAATTTTTTTAAATAAAACTCATACTTGCCATTTTATAATAATTAATTATATAAAAAGTTTTTAAATAAAATATCATAACAGATGGCATCACACGCAGTTTTAATTGTTGCCGGGAAAGTTAAGCAATTCGTTGCTGGATTTTTCGTATTCGTATTGTCAAGAATAATCTATGAGACTTATCCTTTCCAGACTCGTGCTAATTCATCCTACTGTTAGTCAGGCTCACTCGTAATAGGAATAATTAGTGTCGGTCTGGCCATTCGATTAATCAAACAATAGAACCAATCGATCGGTCATCAATCATTCGGCTTTCGGATAAATAGATATATTTTTAAAATTATTTGATAAATTATTTATTTATCTTTCATCACAGTTACAGTTTATTGTTACAGTATGAACGGATCGATTTCATATTATAATTTGAAATGTTCCTGTTGTTTAATGCTCTAATATTTTACTCGATAATTGATTTAAGTAAAATTTTATTGTCTAAAATTAATAATAATTTTAATAAATTTAAAAAATTTTATAGGGAATTATTATAATGAAGATTATTTATTGATTAATTCAAAGGGAAATGTGGAAGATCTTAGCAAGAGATGCACTAAACCAGGATCACATTTTTTTTTAAGCTTTTTCTACGATGGAACTTATGATAAATTATATACAAAAATTTTAATATTTGGTAAATTATTATATTAAATATTTTATAAAATTATTTAAAATATTAATTTAAATGACTTAAGTCGAATATGTCACAAAATAAATGAATTTTTAAATATTTATTATAGGATTGTTACAAGATTTTCTCATAACAGTTAAGAATTTTAAGAATAAAGAATGCAATTACAATGCAACACGAGTTTCAGGTATATCCCATAACTTTTCTGAAATTTACTTTAAAATAATCTATATGTTCAAGAGAGCTCTTAGCAAACGTAAATCTGTTTGAGAGAGATGTAAAATGTTTCTACAAAAACATGTAATTATCGGTTGTATAACGTATGTAAACGTGTAACGCCTGTTTTCCAGAAAGAATTTTATTTCACGTGATACACTCGAGTGGATAAAACTACTGAACACTAGTAGTTGTCGCAGCTTTGTGCCTGATTAACATACTTGCCACGTAAGGTTTTCGAGGTTTTCACGTGTGTAACACTTAAATGTGGACAGTTTGCATAAAAGGTTCTCCCTTGGCAAATTCCTCAAGTATTGCCTTATTTCTTCAATTCAATCCAATTCAACTGGATATATTATATACTTATATTCATAATGTATTCCAGCTGATTTATAATAGTATTTCTTTTTTACTAAAAGGGTGGTGATTTTCTATTGCTCATTTCATTGCGGCGAAACCTATCAGTAATGAGGAAATTGTGCTCAGCAACATGTCCTGTGTTTCGCGTTGATAAATAAATAAATACATTTTAATTAAGTAACATTGAAATATCTAATCCATTCATCTAAAATCGTTATTAGAGAAATAGAAATGGGTAGAAATGCTTTTCTGTACTTCATTTTTCTTAAACTATAAATTTATTAAATAAGAGCATTTATATAATTATAAAAATGCATTTTTTTGTTTTAGTCATTTGTTGATATTTTTATAATTTACATCATACATATGAAATAATTTCATTATTTGCAGATATGTTTACTTCGGTCGAATTCGTCCTACCGCTGAATGAAGTGCCAGTTAATTCAATAGTAGATATGGAATTATTTCACGGCCCCAAACTTATAAAAATCTGTAGAATTGATATGTTACGAGATACAGGTTAATTATTAATTTCTATACCAGTAAAATTGAATTTTTCATGAAATGAATTAATTATTTTATAATAAATTTATCAAAATTACAATAAAATATTAAGTATATAGTTAGGTTAATAAAATCAAGTTCTTTTTACTTATAGTTAACAACATTAATCCATCGAAGCGTGAACATGAAGGTATGTAATTTTAAATCTTATGTTAAAATTTTTATTTATAAGTTGCCGTTTTACCTTTATAAAAATAAAATTTCCAAAATTATTTTGATTTACAGACTTTAATCTACGTAATACAGCAATTAAAGATAAAAGTCCGGATGAAATAGGAATGTCTGATGATAACAACGACGATGATATATTGAAATCTGAAATAAATATTGAACAAGCTAATGATCCAATATTCGACAGACAATTTTCAAAAAATTCTGATATTGCTGATACAGAATGGTATAAAAAGTTTATAAAGACAAGTACGAGGAGACCACCTGCTGGTGCTGCTACAGAAACATATGAAGAAAGTTCGGAACCATCTATTAATGAAGAAGATATAAACGAATAGTAAAACCAAATGTATCCTTCCTTGATGACATAGAACTCGACGATATGACAACATGGTCGAAAGTTTCAAACAAAAGTATGCCTGAAACTCGTAATGCAGAAACTTCGATTAAGAAGAGGAGTTACTTGTTTACCACGTTTTACTTTTTTAACTCAGATAGGATAATTTTATCAGTTTACACAGTTTTTGTACAATGCATTGCGTATGGATACGTTAATAAAACATGAAATTTATTACTACTCTTGAAAAAAACATTCTATGTGTCATTTTATGACGTATAAAGTTCTTTGTGTTTCAAAATTGTAATAACATTAAAATGAGTTAGCTATAAAACAATTTTTAGTTTCTTTTTATATGTTTATTTGTAGTTTTACACGGTATTTATAAGATATTAATTTGAAAGTGATATCTACAAGACATTTTCAATTATATATTGTTGATGGTGTCGCTCTTTATAGAAAATATACGGTAAAACTTGCATTAACGAACACTCCCAAATAGCAGATATCGCTGTTAACGGACGTTTTTACAATACCCAAATACTTCAAATAGAATTATATTTACCGCTAAATAGCAGAAAAACTTCTCGGTTCCTCTATTTGAAAGTTAAACTGTATATATTTTTGTATACATATACATAAAAATTATATATTTATATACTATCAATAGATCAGAGATGGAAAGCCACAATCTATTTCAGAAGACAAAAACACGATTACGTGATGGCATCATACACGACGGCAATTTCCAGTTCTGGTTCTTATGTGTAAATAGCAAATTATTAATAATGAATTGTAGAAATATGTTTTATGTATAAAAAGTATAAGAAAGCCTATATGTATTTCGATTCTTTTGGAGTCTTACGGTGGAGTCGTGATATATAAAACATACAGTATTGAGGATAAGAGCCTACAATAAAAGGCGAAATGTTCAAATACTTTTTTCAATACTGCAAATCAGCGCCCACATTGCAACATGATGGTGTAATTCTTTATATTCGTAACGGAACATGATCTGTTCTCTCCAACCTAACTTACACAACTATCAAATATCGATACATTGACAAAAGACAACTAGAAAAATTTCATAACAGTTACAAATATTCTTCAACAAATTACTCCATTTTTTCATTCCATCTAAAATCAGCTATAAAGTATCAATCAAATTTATAATAAATTAAACTTACACATTATAAGAAATTTTAAAATTAACGTGATTAATGAAAACTCAATGGAGATTGCAGAAGTCTTACTTTTTGATTGACTATATGAGTGAGATGGGATTTCTCATTCGTAACGATTTTTTCTCGGTTAATGTACTCGTAATCTTCTATATTTCCCGTAAAGAAGTAACGATAGGGAACATAACTCATTTAACAACGAAGAAACATAAATTTTTATTCTTTAATCGTGTTACATAATGCATTATCGAGCATTTCAGTGACCGAGTGCCACTGAAAACTAATAGTTGTTGGCGGGTTCGCCCTCATCAACGGCTGGCTAACGGTTTCGGCGATCGTCAAAATGTTCAACTCGTTTCTTGAACACATTGTATTAAATATAGCATCACTAAAAATTTCGTCTTTATATAAAAGAAGTGAAGGATGCTGCTTAGTAGCAGTATGCATAGAGGAATGAATAAAACGTGTAAAATAAAAATGCATGGAATCCTGAATGATGAACATAGTAAGTATATGGAATTTCTGCACTAATTCTAAATTTTCTCACCTCCGAATAACGAATTAGACACATCTTTCTGTTTTCGGCTCTTTTCAACCTGTGAGTACTAAGGCCTTTTTTCTGTGGTTTATCTTGATCCGTTAGTATTTTTCAACCTGTGGGTCGCGATCCCCGGGGTCGCGAGTAAAAGAAAAAGACAAATGTTTGTAGGTCCTACACTACAATAAAAAAATCTACAATTTCAGTGAGAAGGCTGTACCTGTTAATTTTTTAATAATTTGTCGAAACGTGATTCTATTTTTGAGATGCAAATAACTAAATCATTTTCTATTTGAAGCCTATTTCTCTTTTTAGTTTTTATGTCTACCATTCAAGAGAACGTTAATTCACATAGGTAAGAAGTGGCGAATGACACTAATAATTTTAAAGCCTCCCTTGCCAGTTCTGGATACATTTGTTTTCTCTTCATCCAAAAGACGTCAATATTTTGCGAATGAAATTTCATTTTAAGCACACCGTCAGCAGCTAAATATATAAGATTTTTTTCATCTTCGTGGTTAGATCAACCAGTTGTACTGACATATCCATGAAACGATTTAGTATCCACCTATGCCCATTGTCAACTTCAGAGTCCAGTTTTGGAAAGTAAGTTAATAGTTTCTCTTCCAAATTATGCAAGCTCTGTATCATGCAAGGAATGTGAGAACTTACTACCAACAATTGATCCATTGTAGTTTCTTCGACAATCTTCTGAACACAAGGGAAACACTCATATACTGCGTATATTTTGTTTGCAATGACGTTGCCCACAAACGAAGTTTTGCGAAGAATTCTTTGATTTTATCCTTAGCTGTCAGAATGTTTTCTTCTCTCCCTTGGAGTTTCTTGTTTAAAATATTCAGGTGGCTAAAAAGATCAGTAAGAAATGCTAATTTTAGGAGCCAAACAGAGTCACATAAATAATTTGCATATTCAGATTTAACACCTTATAAAAACATTAACAATTCAGCTTTCAGTTTTAGAACTCTTGTGAATACCTTTCCTTTGGATAGCCATCTGACCTCTGTATGATAAAGGAGATTTTGATGGAGCGAACCCATGTCTTCATAAATGATTCTGAACAGTCGGGTTTGCAAGGGTTTACCTTTAATAGAGTTCGCAATTTTGATCACCTCTTTAAGCACGTCATTTAAATCAGATGGTAAAATCTTGGCTACCAGAGCTTGTCTATGAAGAAGCAGTGTGTCCATGAGACATTTGGCATTATTGATTTTAATTTTGCAATGAGTCTGCTTTTTTGTCCAGTCATAGCTTTAGTGCCATCGCTACAAATGGCGAAACATTTTGTCCAATCAGTCTCGTAGTTGCGAGTGCTTTTTAAAAACATGTTGTACAAACACTGACCTGTAGTGTTTGCAGAAAGTGCTTTGCAAAATAAAATGTCTTCTGTGATAATTTCATCTGCTTCAAAGCGCACAAATACCACAAACTGTGCACAATCTGAAACATCAATAGATTTGTCAAACTGCAAAGCAAAGTGTGGGCTCTTCTTTAATTTCTCGAATGTCGCTGGCCATATCGTTCATTCTGAGTTCAATAGTATTGTCAGAAAGTGGTATGCTTTTTAGCTTGTTTGCCTTCTGCCTACCTAACATAATTTCAACCATATCCAGGACTGCTGGCTAAATAAGATTTTCGGCAACTGTATGCGGCTTTCCTGCTTTAACGACTTGGTATGCAACTCTGTAACTAGCTAACAATGCGTTTTCGTTGACACTGGATACCTAAAAACAGACAAAAAATCAGAAAAATAAATAAATAATTGAGCAATAAAAAATATTATTTTTAATCACTAAATAACAATACTATTTTATTACCTGAATCATAGTATTTTGCTGCCGGTTAAGGGTTTTCAGCTTACATTCAAAGAAATCCAGCGGTTTATCAGCTTCTTTGGAATGTTTGGTTAAGAGGTGACACATAAGCTTTGATGGTTTCACACTCTCACGTGATAATATATCGCCGCAAATTACACATTGAGGTTTATTATTCATGACAGTAAACCCATATTTCAAGTAATTATCGTCGTAATGTCTAATATTTAGGTTTCAACAGAAAGAAAATTAAATACGCAGTTTTTAAAAACACTGACATAGTTTTAATATGGCCCTGGGGGTCGCGTATTCAAGAAGGTTGAAAAACACTGCGTTAGAATTTGATCCCGGGTTTTCCTTAGCGATAGACTATCACCATAACCACTCGTCCATCCAGCTGTCAAATTACACACGTGATTAAAACGAACAGTTTCAGCTAAATACTTGAGCTGTAGCTCAAACTGCGAACTTACATATTTTAAGCATAATCCGTGGCTCAAGTTGTTATTTTGGATTTATATAAGTTTAAAAATGAATAAAATTATTTAGATAACGATATTCCATAATTTACATTTGAAAAATAAACATTTAATTTTGAAAATAGATTATATTTGATGTCAATTCTAAGAAATCATACAATTTTTGTTAATTGATCTATTTGTTATTGTAAACAAATTATATTGATTTATTATAAAAAGGGAAAATCTTTTACATAAAATTCATTTTGTGGCGATCGAAATAGAGAAGAAATATGAAAATTTTCAATATTTTCAATGTTGCAATCAGCTTATATTTCATAATGAATATTGTACTTGTGTTCACCAAACTACACGATAAGTTTATGACCTTTATATAGCAACATTTATTTGATATTTTTAATTAAATTTAATCAATAGGTTAACGTAAATAATACGCAGAATGTTTAACTATAAAAACATTACAAAAGTAAAAATTTATTTGTGTTCATCACATTTAAAAACGAAACTTTTATTTTACAATTCTATTCGAATAAATTGTATGTAAATTTAAATCATTAATCAATTTAACGAATAACGGTCAATGTGTTAAATTTCAGTTTGTCAATTAATAATACAATAAAACTTAAAATTTAACGACATTATTTTCTTGCCTCTGAAATTGGCACTAAATCGACTGTGAAGCTAAACTGAAGTAAGGACATACAGTAAAGACTATATTGTATATAGTAATTAAGTTACATTTAAGTTTAACTGACATTTAAGTTACATCCAGAATCCTCAGCAGTGAATGTACAGGTACAGCTCATTTCACGAATCTTGACAGGAATGTAGAAAAATGCACAGTAGCAGAGTAATGTTTGACAAATCTGGCCATCGTGCATTAGGAAAAAGATGGTCTTGAACTTTACAACACTTCCAGAGCTCCAACCGAGTATTGCTAACGCCACAACACATAGCCAGTGTAGGAGTGTATTACGGCGTCGAGTTCAGGTAACACATTATAGACCAGTGTTTCCCAACCTTTTTTGTGCTATGCCCCACCTAAGCCTTTCTAAAATTTTTATGCCCCCCTAACATAGACAACTTTAGAAAGTTTTCTAAAGTTGTCTATACTAGGAAAGTTGTGCCAATATGAGCTCTGTCTTTGTGGTGTGATTTTTGCGGAAATATCGATAACAGCATGTGGAACATTACAGAATATTACGTCGGAATATGAGGAGAGTGAAAATCCGTCAAGTAGGACCTTTTAAATTTGGAACTTTTTGAATTTTTAAGGAAAATAGACATTTTCCGGATAATCAGTCTTTAAACTACCGGTTTTCCGAAACGGACGACGGAATATTTTCCGGACTAATAATTTAAACCTAATTATCAAATTTTGTGGTCATGGGTCAATTCCTGCCTAAGTTATTAACGCACTTCCGGTTTTTCATAGAACGCCATTATCTCGCTTCCGGTTTATTTGTGCCTAATTTCATTTGGGTAGTTCTTTTGGGGTAACATAAGCAATCCTTAGTGAAAATTTGGTTAAGTTATTTGTAATAGTTTTAAAATTATGGCCGATTTAGTTTTATGTTCGATTTTCAACAACAACTTCATTTCCGTTTCTAGGCACAGGTAATTGACCTCTTGCCCTTAGTTACGTTATTTAACGAGNAATTATTATTGTCAATCATAGAGTTTAATAACTTGTGCACTTTCTCTCAACTCTTGTGCACCATTTGGTTCCTATAATACAGGAATGACCAACTTTTGCATACATAAGATTTACTTTTTATCTTAAAAATGTGTTGTGATCAACTTGTTGTCGTAGACATAGTCTAAGTAGCAGTGGCATAGTGAGGGGGCAGAGGGGTGTATCATGCCTCGGGTGCCACTTGAAGACTATTTGGGTGCCACTTTCAGTGGGGCACCCAAATGGTCTCGAAGACAAGGGCCGGATTATCGCATAGACAAATGTCTAGGGCCCTGTTTTTAGAAGGGCCCAGTCAAACTGTCTATTTTCAAAAGATTTGTAAATAAGATAGTTTACTTTTCTGTTGGACAACTGTATAATAGTGGTAAAACTGGTAAAATATTATATTATTTAAATATTAACCAAAAAGGTTAAATTAAACAAGTAAAATGGCAAAACCGTATTTGGGAAATGACTATGTCACGGAGACACTATAAGCAGAATTACTTTGACGCTCAAAGCGGATCTTGTTCTTATTCTCCAATCTTCTTTGGTATTGCTGCTTTTGGGCATGATCGTTCAAACTTCACTGGCCACGATGCATTTTCGATGAAAATGCATCGTGGCCAGTGAAGTTTGAACTATCAAATTTCGAAATTTCTTTCTGTTGCGTGTCGGCTCGAGTTGAATTATTGTCGATGTGTAACGAAAATTTTCTGTTTTTGAAAGAAAAATAATCGTGGCTATTGTATCATCCAAAATTATTTTTTTTTTATTTTGCACAAACAATATACAGTTTAACCAATTATAACGTCATCAGATGTAACGACGACCCTAATATAACGTCAAATTTTTATCAGTCCCATGATTTTACTATACTAGATAATGTTAAAAAACCCACTTGTAACGACATAAAGCTGTTTTAACGTCATATTTGAAGCACTCCCAAATTTACAAAATTAGATTACAAATTTTATTTAACAAAGAAAATACTGTGTGTCCAGTCTTAGGGTCAGAGTCCACTTCCTAGAACGACTGTGGGTGGTACTCTCACCACCTGACTTTGGTTTGCCTGTTTGTAGACAGTCTTCATTTTGTATATTACTTTGTCTCGGTTCTCAGTTCCCGAGTACCTACAAGTCTGGTTTTTTTATGCGCGCATGATTTGGACACTTAATACTCTGTGCCAAATTGCAACTCCTGACATGTACTCCTTCATACCTCTAAGCCAGGGTCCCCAATTAGTTTTTCCTGCGTACCACTTCAAGAAAAAGCTCAAACTCTTGTACCCCTTATAGCAGAAATTCATATTAATCCATACTAATATTATAAATTCAAAGGTAATTCTGTTTGTCTGTTTGTTATTTTTTCACGTCTAAACCGCTGAACAGGTTTTAATAAAATTTGGCACAGAGATAGCTTACATGTTGGAGATGGACATGGGCTACATTTTACTGCGAGAAAATATCTTACTCCCATGAGAAAATTTGATATAATGCGGGCGAAGCTGTGGCTAGACAGCTAGTGATAAATAGAATAAGATTTTTTTTACATTTATTACCTTGAAATTACAATTCTAATAATAATGAAAATAACATAAGGTTATTTAATTTTAATGTGACAAATGCGCAGTCTTCTTTGCACAACTTTGTAAAATCTGGTTGCTTTTTGGTCAGCTTCAGTCTCGAGTCATCTTCGAGTTGAAGTCGGTGACGATGTTTAGTTTTCATGTTTGTCATGGCCGAAAATCTGCTCTCGCAGAGGTATGTTGTGCAAAAGGTAGTAAATATTTTATTTCCGCTTTCCTGACATGGTAATCTTGATAATTGTACAATTAGCACAAATTGTGTTATTTTTGTTTATTGCATAAGAATTTAGGTATTGTCACAAATGCATTTTTTTTTTTTTTTTGATGAAATTTCGAGAATTTTTTAGTTATAAATAAACGAATTTGTGCATTCCACATCATGTTGTAAATTACCGAATTTTTGATGGTCCACCCATTATTTTTTTGGTTGCTTCATCTCATGCATTTAAATTTTAAATCGATTGATTTTAGATTGCCGCACGTACTCCTTCATGCAATTTTGCATACCCCCAGGGGTATGTGTACCAGTAATTGGGAACCATTGCTCTAAGCTGGTCCCCTCGATGTGGGTTCCTGTCCGTGGTGAGGGGACCTTCCAGAGATGGTTTAGTAACTTTTTTTTACCATCCCTGGGATCTGAACGCCCACCTAGGTGTTTGCCGTGCGTGGTGTCTCGTATGCTGGAAAGGGGGATCCTGATAGTTGAGGGGCAACATAACATCCCCAACACACTGCTTTGGTCCCTGCTTCAGATAAACGGGAGGCTGAAATCATGCTCTGTTTGAGTTAATCGGCTGGTCGTTGAGTCATTCTTGACCTCGGCTTGGAGTCAACTGATCGATGCAAACCGGACGGACACGTCAGACAAGATGAGCTCTTGACTGCATTGTGAGGGTATAGCTCATGGGAAACCCTGGTGTAATGGTCTATGGGACTCTCCCATGTGACGGCATCCCCTTGTTGAGCCCCATGGTGGGTGGGGTCACTAGGAACTGAAGAATTATTTCTAAATATGGATTCTCTAAAATCTAAAACATCTACCAATGCACTGCCACCAAAAGAGGTCAATTCCTCCAATCAACCAACCTACCTTATTGTTTACGCTACAGGAGAAACACCTTTGTCTAAACGCTTTTTTTTTTTAATCCAGAAACTTTTTGAGTCAACTATTGGGCACCTAAAAAAAATTCAAAAGTTGAGGTCAGGAGATCTACTTGTGGAAACAGCCTCCCCTCAACAGTCAGAAGGACTTTTGAAAATGAAGTCTCTAGGAGACATACAACTCACCATAACACCACATACAAGTTTGAACTCTTCATGTGGTGTGATATATCTGAAATTGATCTGATGTCTGAGGATGAATCAGATATCCAGATTGGTCTTTCAGATCAAGGTGTTACTACTGTTCGACGCATCTCCATTCGTCAAGATGGCAAGTTAATTCCTACTAAACACTTAATTATAACTTTTAACAAACCAACTTTGCCATCTGCTATCACAGCAGGTTATCTGCACTGCCCACTTCATCTGTATGTTCCAAATCCACTGCATTGCTTCAAATGCCAGCGATTTGGACATTCACAAACATCCTACCGTGGGAAAATCATGTGCGCACAGTGTGGAACTGAAGGTCATGAGAGTGCCGAGTGCACCAATTCTCCATGCTGTGTGAATTGTAAATATGCCCATCCTGCCTACTCAAGGAAATGCCCTGCATGGCAGAGAGATAAGGAGATTTAACGGGTAAAAACCACAAATAATATACCATACCCAGAAGCCCGCTGCATGGTCACTCAAACTACAACATTAAAACAAAAAACATTTGTCTCTGTTTTGAAATCCACAAAAACATGTGGAGTTCAAACAGATATTTCTGTATCACCAAGTGGAGTGTTCTTAGGAGACGGACATGAGTTCATTCGCTCCGTCTTTTGTTCTCTGTTTCGACAGTTCTACATATTAGACGTAAGTTTTATTTTGTTTTTTTCTGTAGGGGTTGACTGGCGAATTTGTTCGCTATCGTTTTTTATTTTTCCAGTCTTGTGATTATTGGTTTTTATTGTTTTTACCAAGTGACCAGTCTTTTGAGTGTCTCTCGCGTAGATTACAAGATATTACAAGATATTGAGAACAACATTGATAATAATTCACAAATAGAGATTAATAAAGAAATACAAAATACAGTTATAGAAAAACTGAATAGAATAGAGGATAGAACGGCTCAGCAAAATTGCTTCAATGCTATTATACAGCAGTATTGTTAAAAATGGTAACTTGAAACCAAAACAAGTAAAACAACAAGAAGTGATTCTAGTATATAATAAAGATAGAGAGAACACTAATAGTGATGCGGTACGACAGATTATGCGAATCAAATNAATGTTTCTCTCCTGATAATGCCTCAGCGGGGTCAGGAAATATGTAAATACTACATGTTAAAAATAAATGAATGAATGAATGAATGAATGAATGTCTCTCGCGTAGCTAGTTGACTTTTGTCACTTGTTTTGTATTTCATTTTATTTAGCATTAATCGACAGTTTGTAAGGTTTATAATTCGGCCGGTAATTACGTTTATAATTCGGCCGGTAATTACGTTTATAATTCAGCTTGGATAATTAATTATTTCGTATTACGAGTGTTCTCGACCAGCTCTCGGCCGGTTTCTTGACTGTTATATTAGGCCATCGGGATCCATTTTTGAGTATTATACGGACTACCTTGGACTAAGTTCAATTTTTTAATATTATATATTTTCTTTGATTATTTTTCGAGATATCTTGGTCTTAAATTTCACTGAGAACAAAGGCCTTTGTTTTCGGCACGTGGTTTAATGGCCATTCTATCTGACGTCATTTTACTCGATCGTAGTTTCGTTCCTCACCCAGTTATCACACGCTTTATTAAGTGTGATTCTTCGATTAATTTCTTATTTTTGTCGTAATTGTTTATGGATTTCATCGATGGAGACTATTAATTTTTTGTTGGCGCCTGTTTTGGACCCAGTGGAAAAAATTATACCCTCCAACTCAGCCGATTCCAGTGATTCGCTTGAGCTATCAATCCTAAAAGAAGCTGGATCTCAATATCATAGGATTATGAATCTCATCTCAGAAACTTGCAATATTAAAATTAAAAGTTTGGAAAGAAAGGAAGCCAGGGAAAGGAGTACTGCAGCTGCACTCCTGTGTGAGTCAGCTGTTTGGGATCCTTCGCGAATTGCGTGCGCACCAGAAACCGGATTCCAGGCAAGACGATGGTGGCAACGCATCACTCTCTTATGCTCATGTAGCGAGTAAAAATAATATACGGCCCAGTAACATAACCAGAGTCATAAATCAGACTTTAGACAGGAAACTAAATAGAGAAGGAACGAGCGGCAGCTAGGTGGTTATCCTTTATCCTAAAGAGAATAAGGAGGGAGAAAAAACTGATATGGAAGAAGTTACGAAAGAAATTCGTGAAAACATCTAACTACAACAACTGCACATAGCAGTTAAGGGGATCAGGAGGGTGAAAGTGGAGGGAGTATGCATCAGAGTGGGAAACGAGACAGATGGGAAAAGATTAAAAGAGGCCATTGAGGAACTCCCAGGAATGAGTGAAAAAATAATTTGTAAAATGTCAGAGGGTAGGAGACCCCGCGTCATCTTACTTGACGTCCCTAACATCGTATCTGACGATGACATCATCCGGGTGATGACTGAACAAAATAAAATATGGAACAACGCCGAAATGGAGGAAGTACAGAACACTAGCAGGGTGAGTGTCACACTAAAAAAAGGAAATAACAGGGAGAACTGTAGACACGTGGTGCTATTCATGTCAGCAAAAACCCGGAACACGCTCATCTCGAAACAACATATCTCTATCGCCTGGACGAACATTTATGTGGACGATTTTATATCTGTGACCAGGTGCTTCAAATGCACTGGTTTCGGGCATCTGGCACGTGACTGCTCACAAGAGCAGAGATGCAGTCACTGCACTAGACAACATCACTTTAAAGACTGAATCTAAACACAAAACTCCTGTATGCATAAACTGTAAGAAATTTAATCACGGACAGCCTGAACATAAAAAGAGGCATATACATCATAACGCATTAAGCAGCACATGTCCAACCCTATTAAAACTAAAGGAACAATCGATAAACACCACCGATTATGGATATTGATCTTTATAACTCGCTAACCTCAAGTACACCCAACAGTCAAGCTACCAATCCCTCACCTGTCTGCACAGAGGCTCGGCTGAACATTCTACAGATAAATACCCAACACAGCAAGGCAGCCAGCTCTCTTCTTATTAAAACTACGAATGACAGGAAGATTGACATGGTTTTCGTCCAAGAGCAGTATGTAATTAAAAATACTATCGTACGTTTCGGAAACTGGAACATTCTCACGGGCAGCAAAGATACTAAGCTGAAAAGCGGCATCGTTGTCTGCAACCCAAATCTGGACATAGCAATGATCCCTCATCTAAGCTCGAGCAGGATTACTACCACTACACTACACCAAGCTAATCCTATAATATTTATCAGTGCATAATTTTCTCCGGAAGACAACGACGACGATTGCATAACGGAACTGACTGAGGTGATTAGAAAAGTAGATAACAGAAGGCTGGTCATTGCGGGTGATTTGAATGGGAAATTGGCAATCTGGTTCCATGAAAAGGAGGATAGGAGAGGAAGGTTGATTGCCAATACTATGAGCGAATTTAACCTCATATCTACTAACATGACTACCCACCCCACTTTCTTCTCTCCGCATGCCAGAGGCTGGACTGATGTTTGTCTGGTCTCCGAGAATATGTCCCACCTCATCGAGAACTGTGAGACGCTTCTCTACCCGTCAGCAAGCTTACCCAGATCAGCGAGATCACCAAATCGAACGACAGGAATCCTTCGTTTCAGACCCCCCTCGATGTGGGTTCCTGTCTGTGGTGAGGGGACCTCGCAGAGATGGTTTAGTAACTTTTTTTTACCATCCCTGGGATCTGAACGCCCACCCACGTGTTTGCCATGCGTGGTGTCCCATATGTCGGAAAGGGGGAATATGGTAGGTGAGGGCAACGTATCGTCCCCAACACACTGCTTTGGCCCCTGCTTCGGATAAACAGGAGGCTCAAATCAGGCTCCGTTTGAGTCAATCGGCTTGTCGTTGAGTCATTCTTGACCTCGGCTTGGAGTCAACCGATCGATGCAGACCGGGCGGACACGTCATACAAGATGTGCTCTTCGTGACTGCATTGTGAAGGTATAGCTTCTGGGAAACCCTGGTGTGATGGTCTATGGTACTCTCCCATGTGACGGCATCCCCTTGTTGGGCCCGTGGTAGGTGGGGTCACTAGGAGTTGAATATTTTTTTCTAAATATGGATTCTCTCAAATCTAAAACATCTAGTATACCACCAAAAGATGCCAGTTCCGCAAATCAACCAGCCTACCTTATTGTTCACGCTACGGGAGAAACACCTCTGTCTAAACGTTCTCCCTTTCTAATTCAGAAACTTTTTGAATCAACTATTGGGCATGTTAAAAAAATCCAAAAATTGAGGTCGGGAGATCTACTCGTAGAAACAGCCTCCCCTGAACAGTCAGGAAAACTTTTGAACATGAAGTCTCTAGGAGACATACAAGTCACTATCATGCCACACACAAGTTTGAACTCATCACGTGGTGTGATATCTGAAATTGATCTGATGTCTGAGGACGAATCAGATATTCAGATCGGCCTTTCAGATCAAGGAGTTACTGCTGTACGACGCATCTCCATTCGTCGAGATGGCAAGATAATTCCTACAAAACATATAATCGTTACATTTAACAAACCAACAATACCACCTTTTCTTACCGCAGGAAATTTGCGCTGCTCAGTTTGCCCATATATTTCAAATCCGCTGTGTTTGGATGATCCAGTGATTTGGACATCCAGTGATTTGGACATTCCCAAACATCCTGTCAAGGAAAAAGTTTATGTGCACAGTGTGGAGTTGGAGGTCACCAGAGTACTGAGTGTACCATCACTGCATGCTGTGTAAACTGCAAAGATGCCTATCTTGCCTACTTCCGAAAATGCACTGCATGGCAGAGAGAGAGAGAAATTCAGCGATTGAAGACTTACCCGGAGACACGTCGCATGGTCACTTTAAGTACACCAGTGAAACAGAAGACATTTGCTGCTGTTCTGAAATCCACAAAGACATGTGGAGTTCAGACAGACATTTCTGTTTCACCAAATGAATCTGACTCGCCACGCAAAATGTTTCCTGATACCATCTACCAAAGAAAAAGAACAAAACAAGACAAAACCACTCATACCTAAAACAGGGGTAACAACTAGGAATGTGGGTTCCAAAAAAGCCAGTAAGAACCCTCTTAATAAACAACGAATGAAAGCAGCCTTCTCTAAATCCAAAAAATCAGAGACTCAGTCTATGAGTGAGTTCTCTTACTTTTCCGATGAAGAGACTAATAAGGCGGTGACACCACCAACGTCACCTCCAAAAGAAAAAGCCCCTGTGAAATTAAAGACGGATAACCATCTATTCTTCATCCAATGAGGAATATAATGTGCCATTCACCAGCATAGAACTACATACAGCGATCTCTCGCTCGGGGAATAGTGCTGTAGGGCCGGATAAAATCCACTACAGCATGATTTAAAATCTGTCAAACAATTTTCTTTCTAATCTCCTGTGTCTGTTTAACAGAATATGGACAGAAAATATTTT